CGGGGGCGGCATCATAGAACATTTGTACACTGTACCATCATCTTGACATCATGTCAACAAGAACAGCATGTCGTGCTCGATAGAAGAGAGATACGCGCCATACCCCGTTCTCCATGCTTGGAACATGCTGTCGAAGTGCTTCGACTATCATGAATAAATATTCTCCTACCGGGCTCCGCCCTGTAACCAAGGTCATCAAAACGCACATGTGAACGAAAGTGCAGGCATCAAAGTCGTTCCAATATATTGCAGGCTGTCCTCCCCACTCATAATTCATCGGCGAAAGTCTGATCATCATCTCCGACCTCCCCCGCCTCACCTGAGGCCTTTTTGATCACGTCCACACATGCCGCCCTCCTAGTCGTACATTGCTCGTCCGTCCCTCCTCTCCACTCTGATAAGAATACACGCGCCCGATGAGCACGGCGCCGTTGTGGCCCTCCTTTTCCGATACAAGACTCCAACGCCGATATGCAGTTCCTGCGGCCTCCATTGGCCTGACGAAATGCATCGGCACGGCAGCCTGGACATCGCTAGCTGATGCAAGAGCCCACCCACATGTTTTTTCTCTTCCACCACTCGTCATATTATTACACCGTTGCTTCGCAATAAAAGTAGAAAATAACGTGAAAGACTATAAACGTCCGTGTGTATGTAGTCCGCAAAGTGTTCCGCGTGTGCCGTGGCGTGGCCAACAAGCGACGTCACTAGAGACTCCAGGGTTCCGGTTCAGCGCTGCCGCTTCATCACCGGACCGCCTTCATAGTCCCACGCGCGCTTGAGACCGCCTTCGTACACGCTGGCCACTGATTCTTGCCACATGGCTGGCGTGACAAACGTTTGGACAGGAGCCGCCGAGTATTGCTGGGCCGGCATCTGCTGTGCAGCGACAGGCATGCTGGCCGTGGCAGCTTGGATATCCTGGATGGATGGGGCTTCGGGTTGACCTGAAGACGGGGAAACGTTAAGCGCGCTGGTCTGGGTGGGGACGCTGGTCGACTGTGCCTGGACTTGAGGCGTACCAAATGACGTATTCCATTGTCTTTGTCAAAGAGTCAGTGTTTTGTGCGACAGGGTGAAGGGTGACGAGAGGGCACATACTCGAAAATTCTCTGCGGATTCCAGGCCGGCGCTTCCGCAAGGGGCATCGTAGGTGGCATCCCAGGCGCTTGGGAGCCTTGGCTCGACATCATTACGAGTGACTGTACATCAGGCGAGTCACTCCTCGTGTCCAGAGGTCCGGCGGATATGGGTGGCGTCATGGGGTGGCTATAACTAACTTGGGAGTGCTGTTGGTGCATGTTCTGCGTATCAAGTCGTGGTTCAAGCGAACCCGCCTGAGACAGCGGCGATGGCCGGTATCCCGTGTTGATGTGAGGCGACGGCGACTGGTTCGAAGAGTGTGGGCTGCCGTATGGGAAGCTCGGCTTCAGTACGAATGGTTTCCTGGTGTCAGCAGAGAATGCTTCACGAACAGCATCGACTGGCTTTTGGAGATCCGCCATAGGCCAAACCGACATGACCCTCTCGAGAACTCGCATGTGACGCGCAAAGTAGTCCCGCGCGTCAACGTTCAGATCCGGGTCCGGAGACGTGATTGCCACCTAGTGTGCCAGCATTAGCTCGTTGTCCCAGGATAATTTCGCTGTCGTACACCCACCAGGTGGAGAACAATGCACGTCAAGCCGCAGTAGATGGTGAAGCTAAACCCGCGCTGCATGCACTGCAGGCCCGTGAAGCCAAAGGTATTGACGACTGCCTCCTGCAGGCGACAGAGCGCCTTGGCAGAATTGTAGCAAATCATCATGTGGTGCTTCCACTGGCCGTCTGCGCCGTTGGGATCCAAAAACGCCAGCTGCGGCCGGTGCAGCAAAATCTGCGCCAGGTAGTAGTACGAGTGTAGATTGCCGATAAACGGCGACGAGAGCCACGGCGCAGATCCATCGGGTGGAAACGTCACCGATAGGTCGCCTGGGAGGTCGTTCAACCACGAGTTTAGAGAAGGGTTGAGCTGTACAAAATCCGGATCGACCCCCCAATCTTTCTTTGTTTTTCGCAGGCGGCCATAAACTGTATTCATTCGACTAATGTTCTTGACGATCCGGGCGAGATACGTAAAGTTGCGAGAGATGTTGTATTCGAGTTCATCAGCCCCGGGTATAGGACGAGGTATACTGAAGTCAATCGTGTCAAGTTCGACCGCCAAATCGGTCCTCCCTGTAGCATGTGTGAGAACAATTTGGTCAATTCAGGATGTAGCACGAGCGTTAACAGACCTTGCGGAGATCCGACCATGACTTCACACACGAAAATGGTCTGCCAAATTCGGCTCTTCAGCTGGCATTCCATCGGGCTAGAATCGCAAGGTCGGCCGGTCTGATGGTCGGAATAGTGCTCGTCGAGGCCAAGATCCTTTGCCATCTGAACGCACTGCACAACCGTCATCCAAGATCGGTAGTAGTAGCCTCGCTTCGGCGCGGCTTCCCTTGCTTTTAGTATAATCAACAGCGCCTGTAGTGTGCTCAGTCGTGGAATATCCATGAATGCGTCGGCGTGATCTATAGCTTGTCAGTTCCCGGCATTGAAGGATTTACGATGGAAACCACGCACTACTGGCCAAAGCCAGCCACTGTTGACCTTGGGCCGGCTCATCTGCTAATCGTCCGCCGATTGCAAAGATGGCCTCAAGGATGAGTGGCGAGATGGCGTCCCTGTTGGAGTTCCATTGCTGGTAAAACATTGTCTTGCTCAACACGGGAACATAAGGATGAACATGGCCAAAGTACAGGTCGAGGTAGTGCTCTGCCGTGTCGTCGTCGGGCATAAGTTCTGGTGGGATGCGGATTTTCAGGCCCGGCGCAGGCAAAAGAGCAGGTAGGTGGCTCTTGTACTCGTCGGCCTCCTCGACAGCGGGTTCTTCCTCCTGCCTGAACGTTGCCCTGTTCCTAAGATACGGTGCTGATCTAAACGTTAGCCGCATACAAATACCAGTGCGGATGCCGCGTGCTGACCTGATCCTGCCTCGTCCATCTTCAATGATCCTAGCAAATCTGACAGGTCTTGCTGCTGGTACTCATCTTGAGAGTACGCGCCGGGAGAGGAGGAATGCGGTTTGGAGCCCTGATGGTGAGGAGGACTGGGAAAGTGGTGCTGTGCTGCATATTGCTGCTGATCCATCACAGGAACGGATGGTGGCATAGTTGTGTAATGCACATTCTGCGGAGCCGCAGAAGAGTCTGAATAAGGCACGTGTTGGTAGACATTGGGGTTGTCTGGATAGGCCGCGTGCGTGGCATACATTGCCGGTCCAGGCTTGGGCGCATTCGCAATCATCGAGGTCTGCTGCTGTTGCATGGGCATCTGGCGGAAGCTGTCTTGCAGCTGACCTGCGTCGGCGTAGTCGGTGGCAGTTGGGGACGAATCATAGGCTCCCGAGTCAGACGTTCCATCATACTGTCCGTTGGGTCGCACGCAGTGAAGACGCAGCCTGATGCAGGCCGAGCAGGGCCATGTGTTTGTGGTAGCAGCATCGCATTTGATCTTCCTTCTCCGGCAGCCTTCACAAGCTCTCATCACTGACATGGCTGGTTAGTAAAACATGAACAGTAAGTTGGGAAACCCAACATCGGCAGTCCCATCAGTTGCCTACCTTTCAGTCGCTTGTGGCGGTTGTGCTCGTCAACGAAAACATAGTCTAGTCGCATGTTAGAACAACGCTGTGTGATAAGTGAACGATGACGCACTCTTCTGGGTTTCCCTTTGAGGGTATTGCTGTGGCGCAAAGGAAAAGGAGCTCATTTGTGAGCTTTGAGGCAAGATGCGCCGCGCCGAAGATTCGTTGGACATAGCGCAAAGAGGGGGCGGTATTCGTCGCCCGAGTTGACAATCGAGGAGGTATGGCGAGATGCGTTCCGTTGCATACAGATGCGCTGTAGTTGCTCAGGGCCCGGAACTGATGGGTGCCGTACGATGCGACAGGCGTGGCGTCAGGCGTGGCAACAGAGCGCGCAGTCCGTCCAAGAAAGAGGAAGTAATTCCTTCAAGATTGGGTGCGCGTCTCAAGCTGCGAAGAGAGGCAGATGTGAGTTGCACAGCTGTCGGTCCTCCGGCTGTCGACTTTGTTTGAACCAAGCAACAGGGAAGGGCAGGTGTGGTGGTAGGTAAGTAAGTAAGTCGTAGTGGTAGCGGGGATCTGTAGTGCTGTCCAGAGGGGCGCGTGGGACAGAGTGTCGAGCGTTATTATGAGTGGATGAGAATCGCCAGGTACGGGGTGGAAGGGGGTCCCTAGACGAAGGACCGGGGTAGTGGAGGGGCAAGATCGAACAATGACGAGCTGCTCATATCGTGGCAGTAGGTACTTGTAGCACACAGTAAGGGCGGAGAGCCTTTGGGTACTTCTCCCATGGGGGCCAGGGGAGAGAGAGGGCAGGGCAGGCCGGCCAGGCTGGGCCACACTATGGGCCAGGAGGAGACAGGCCAAGGGCGACAGGCCCCAAGGTGGTTTGATGGGGGTTCGATGGGTGACGAGGAGGGACGGGTGCGATCCAGCCGGGGTCTGTTGGTCCCACGGCTACGAAGCAGGAGGTTGCGTGCAATGCAACCAACGTGGGCTGGTGGAAAAGAGCCAAGCAAACCCCTGTCGTGGACGATCGGGAGAATAACTAAAGGCTGGAGGTAGCACTCATGGAAGGGTCGGAATGCGCGATGGCACTGACACTGGCACTGGCTCCGGCGGGTTGGGAGGCCGTGGATCTGGCCTGACGCCTTTCGTGGATTTCCGTAATGAGCAGGTAATGAGGACGGCGGGTTCGCTTGGTTGACCGTCTGATGAGAGGATGTGCGCGCCTGGCTGTAGGCGTATGCGTGGGTAGAGGCAATAGCGACTCGGTGTGTGCGCGCGAGTGTGATGAGACGTGTGGACAGGACGTGTGCCCGCGCGCGCGTGTGGTGCTGTGGTTGCGGATATGTATGTGTGTGCTTTCAGCCCCGATTGTCAGCGGGGAATGATCGTGTGTGGTGTGCCAGTCGCTAGCGTTTCTGGGGTCCAAGACGCGACCGTACGGCAGAGGGTGTACTGTAGAAGAGCCGGGGGGGTTGGTTGCGCTGGGCGTGGTCAATGGAGAAGAGACGAGAGATCTCCCTCTACCAGTGGTGCATTCGTAAGCGCACAAAGGGAGCAAAATGTCCAAGCCTCGGGTAGATCAAGCTTAGAGGCAGACGCACTCTGTAGATCGAATTATCGGGTGCGGCCTGACCGAGCGGTGGGGATGGGTAGGAGATGAAGTCAAGGTTGCGCGCAAGGAGCAAGATGCGAGGCAAGGCGAGGTAAGAGAGTTTGGGGCAGATGATCAACACGGAAACGCCTGAGCTTAGAGCTGGAACGTAGGACAAACGAGTCCAGACGAGGCCACGAGCCGTCAAGGAGGTGAGGGACGGGAGGTAATGCGTTGGCGGTGTGGGGGCTTAAAGGAAGCTAAAGAGCTCGGAGCTGGAGCTGAAGCAGACGAAGCCAGGCCCTCCACTCCGGCCGGTAGTCGATTGTCTGCCTGTCTCGATGCCCGGGCTGGGTGGGCAAGGGAAGTGGTGATGTTCCAGATGAATGAGGGAAGGGTCCGGGGGGAGGGGGAGGGGTTGTCAAGATGCTTGGGCGCAAGTACTAGGCAGATAGGAGCATCAGCCGCCGGAAGGAGCTGTAGGTAATACTGAGCGGGAGCAGGAGCAAGAGCAGCCTTTCCGATGAGACACAGAGCAAGCACCAGAGAAGAACAAAGGCAAGAGGTTTGGGATGACGATAGCCCAAGATGGGATCAGGATCGCGCTTGCCTTGGCCTCACGTTCAGCACACCCCCTTCTTCCCAGCAAGAACTACCGGCGCCATGCCACAAGGTAGAATGGTCAAGGAACCGACCAGGCTACTTCTTCCTTCGCGTCGGATTAGGTAGTTCGTGGGTGACCTGTCGACTGCCGCCTGTCGCCTGTCGCATTTCTTTTTTTTTATTTACCCCACCGGCAGCCACCGATGACACTGCTATTTCGTGGTGCTACCCTCCCTCCCCTGCCGCGCTCTGCAGGCCCTGTCCGTAAGCTTGGGGCAAGGCACCTCGGGCTAGGTAGGTGGTGTCAAGAGTCCAGCTTCCCAGGTTCCAGTTTCCCAGTGTCAAGCGTCGACCCAGCGCGCCACAGTTGTTAGTCCGGGGGGGGGGGCGATACGTGCTTCCCCCCAGTACCTGTAGAGGTACCTTGTACACCAGAGATACCCCGTCAGAACTGACTCCAGGGTCCGCGGCTACGAACCGGGTGGGCCCGCAAGCCCACATTTGGGCTTGGTAGACCTGCATCCATGACTTCAATGCCCAATCCCAAGTACACCGCAAGTACTGGCCAGCTCTTCATCCAGCTTGCCCGTCCCGGTCTGCCGTGTCTCTCCAAGGTGCGACATGGTCCCAACTCTAATGTCTAAAAGCTAAGGTACCTAGGTAAGCAGACGACGATCGAGCTATGCCCTTAGCTCCGTGGCTAGACTCGAAAAGGGTGGGCGAGGCAGCCGAGCTGCTGCTGCCAGATTGACAAAGAGGGAGAAGAGAGAGAGTGTGTGGAATAGTCTTCCTGATTTCCGAACCGCCAATCTTCTGACGGTGCTAAAAGTAGATGGAACCGCCCTCCGGGCCAGCTTGGGACGAGATGAGATTCAAAAGCATGTCCTTTGCTCGACGCTCTGCTTGCTATTGTCTCGCTGCGCCATCCAGCTCGGGTCTCCCTGCAAATCGTGCGCCACACAAAGGCCATCGAAATACGGCGGCGTTGCAATGCAGACACCGCTACCACGTTCCGGGCAGTAGCAACGTCGATGGTCGGCACCTGCCTACCTGCCTACCTACCTGCCTACCCTGGGTCTTGTCTGCCCACCACCGACACATCAACCCACCTGGTATCCGGCCTGCTGTCTGTGCCTCTGCCTTGTTATAATGTTCCTTGATCCCCCTCCCACCCCCCTGCCCACGTCGATAATGATGTGCTGTTAAAGGTCCGTCGCCAGTATTCGGGTTCGGGTGCCTGATCGTCAATCCTCCATTCCCGGATCTCGGGGGGCCAGGAAAGTCCACCTCGGGCTCCTCTTTCTCCGCCACTTGCCTCTTTTTTTCTCCGGTTCCTCAACAATTTTGTGGACGGAATTCGCAAGCCTCGGCCGAAGTCAAGTCGTCTTACAATAGCAACATCGATCACCCTCCTCCTCCACAGGCCACCCCCGGCTTGCCCTCCCCAGCACCCTTCAAGCGGCACACCAGTGGGCATGCGATCACGCATCCTCCCTCCACCCCAGTCGAGGCCACAACCGCAATGCCGCAGGCCTGCATCCTAACCCACATGTCCCTCGTGCATCCTGGCAAATGGCAACTCCTTAGCGCCCCCACAGGGGGCATTGCGGCAGCATGCGAGCCCGCTTCTTGCCTACAAGGCAAGCCTGCTAACCTTCCACTGTGGCGCTGGCCCTGGTCCTGGACTTCTGGAACCGTCAAGGAACTCGTGTGTAGTTTCGTGGTGGGTGGGGTGAAAGGAGGCTGCTGAACAAGGGGAGATTTCACCCACATACCCCTGTCAACTCGGGTTACAGACCGTTAAGTCAAGGGAGGTTCTCCTTGGCAGGACACTGAGGAAGATGGCAAGGAAGGCTGTTTGCCATGCGTGCCAAGAGCTTACATCTTTTGCGGAGCTGGTCTTGCAAGAATGATCGCCCACAACCTCATACGCATTGTCTTCCGCTGGCCCGTTGATCGTCTCTTCTCAGCACCACTATCGACCGTGATGGAACAGCAGATTGAGCAACACGGTCAACACGAACCGACCTTGTCGATGCCCTGTTCCCTGTCATGCTGGCTGACTGGTCTGGACCCTTCGGGCGGGGGGCTGATGCAGTCAGATCGTGAGTCCAAGTCCAGCTGGCCCCTCCCCCCAACTTCCTCTGTAGCTAGGGCCTTTGGCGTCTGACCACAGGCAGAGAGACGCTAGCTGTCCAGTTGTAGGCCCTCGAGCGAGTATCTCGATCACTGGCACGGGTAGCTGGGCGGCGTGTGGCGGGGTGGAAATTGGGTCTACCGCAAGGTAGACCAGAATTGTGGCGGGGGGGAAGTGCGTGTGTCTACACCTGAGACGTTGCCCAGAGGCGAGCAAGCGTGTTTCTAGCCTCCGGCTGAGATATCATCCACACTCACTCACGGTCTGATCCCCGAGACTACTATACATACAGCCAGGGGCTCGGCACGTTGTGCGTTCGAGTCAAGACGTCAGCACTCTGTATTCGGTCCTTCAACGACGTAGTCACTGCAGCTGCCACCTGTACATGAATCGAATGGCAAGCTGACGACGAGTTGTCGTTGTCAGAGTAAATGGTACAAATGCCTTGACTTGGTTGCAGGCGCATTCGCGGCGCTTCTCATGCGCACCACACGGAGCCTGCGAGTCACGAGCAACCTGGCAGGTGCAAGAAATGGCAATGGCAATCAGATGGCCACTTGGCTTGACGTTCTGGCTGTTGCGCCATTGGCTGTGGGGATCGTGGGGTTGGTTTGGCGGAATACTGGCCTTCACCCCTGGCGATGTCCCCCTCTGCAGGCAAACAGGCGGCGATGCCATGCTGGCTAAGGGGGGGAGGGCGGTTACCCTGTGTCAGTCATCTGCCTCGCTGCGGCAGACAAGACATTGTTCGTCACAGGCGCTGCGTGCCGCTGATACCGTTCCTGCTGCAAGATGGATCCGCCCGTCATCTTAAGTCCGATGAGATACAAGCCAGAGTCATGCCACCAATAAGCCGGCCCGACGCCTCGTCTTGGACGGCGCTGCTGTCGGCGTTTGTCCCTCCACCGTCTTGTCCTGGACTGGCGGGATCACAGAATAGGGCCTGCTGCAGACGAAGGGCCCCCAGCCAACCTGCCGAAATGGAGCCGGGGGTGGGAGGGATTCAGGGGCAGGGTGCTTCCTTAGCGTGGAAAAGCTCCATCACATGTCAGAGACAGCCAATAATTCCACAACATATCGATGGACCAGACGCATGTGCCGAGGAACAATAGTCATCGACCAAAGGTTAGATCAATTGCCCTGGCCACCAGCCTCCTTACCGCAACAACCTCGACTGCAGCTTGAAATGAGGGGTTTTCTTAGCTCCATCTTGGTCAATCTTTAAGTGAGCGAGAATCCGTCAAAGTGGTGCACGTCCACTGTCGATTTTGACAACCCCTTCGTATCTGTTCCCGTTCGAGCCGCGCCAAGGAAACGGCAAGGGGACATGGAAGAGCCCTTGACCTGGAGCTGGCACAATGGTGGTTTCAGCAAAATACGGCTTCGATCTCCGATTTGTGGACGACGACGTCTGAAATCCGACTGTTTGGCTCGCCAAAATCTGTCAAGCCACGGCTGCTCCCACGAATGGTCGCGTCTTAGCTTTCTCAAGTGAGAGCAGCTACTAGGCGATTGGCAATCCGAAGTCCTTGGAATCAGTGCGCTAGTGATGGAGAATGCCGTTGCGATTCATTCGATCCTGCAAGTCGGACCCAGTGTTGCAGGGATGTAGTATGGAGTGATGCAAGCCTCTTTGAACAGGGGGTTTATGATTGTCGTGATGACAAGCCTGAGGGTCTGCTCCTGCACACCGAGACGCAGGAGTTCTGTCGGGTGTTTTTCCATGAAAACCTGACGCTCCCCATATTTGGCCCATATTTTGCGAGGGGACGTCGAGGACCGTCGCTGTTCAGACGCGCTGCCACCTTCCAAATGTCGATTTGGTAGGTAGGATGGAGTGTACAGGCGGGCACCTGCGCCGAGCTCATGAACGATCGTGCAATTTGACGCTACTCCATACCAAGCAGGTCGTTTGATTCTACAGTGCTCGCTGTGCGGATTGCTGGATTCGATAATATGCAATGTGCCTCGATAACGCACAGCGACAGGCTCAATCCTCGACCAAGAGGCAAATAGGTAGGTAGGTAACGGAATCCGGCGCAGACCGACAAGCCGCTAGGGTGCAGATGGATATGCGACCTGAGATCGTCATCCGACTCTGTCGCTCAACGGCGCCCGTTGGCGATGCAGACTGGCGTCATGCTGTCAGTCAGCGTTGTCAGAATAAGGTTGTCCGATTCACATGTGGATTCTGCGCACGTTTTCTTCTCCTTCGTCTCTCTCGGCCGAAGGCTGCCATGCTTCATGCGCTGTTGGCCCAGCTGTGAGGATCTGGTGTATCTCAGACCGCTAAGCTGCAGTACCGTCCCGTAGCTTGTTCCCCTTTCCAGAAGTCGAGCCCGATAGGGACGGTCGGAGGGCATGACCGATACCGACCACAGCTCCGGCGAGGCAGGGACGGGAACGCACACGAGAGGCAGAGACGAAGGGCCGCCGGGCTTCCAGAAAGCTTCTGTCATGGTTCGATGCAGGGTTGGCAGCTGGCCTCCCGCTACGCATACTCTCCGTTCCTGGAGATCACCGTCATTTCTGTTCCGAGATGGCTCGTCTCGCACGACCCCATTCTGATCTTGACAGCTTGGCGGCTATCGGACGCCACGGCACCAGGGCCCTTTGCCGCATGAATCTGGGGAATGAACACGAGCAATAGCCGCGACACTATTGACAAGCTTGCTGAACATGGTTGTCGTCATTGTCGGAACCATGAAGACCCCATCTGCTCCATTTAGAAATGACAGTGGCTTCATTAGGACACGCGAACAAATGATTCCCATGTGAAATTGCCTGATCCGTTTAGGTCAAATAATTCGCTGATGTATGCCAAGTCTTGAGATTGTCTGTCTTCTTTCGCTTCAATGATCTGTTTGAATGATTTGCTCGAGGTTCTTGGAGTTTCCCACCCTTGAGGAGTATCAAGGGTGATGGACAAGGCAGAAAATGACCATCTGCTGGCGCCCTAGTGAGAATGACTACTGAACCCCACTGCCACCGGATTGCGCCACTTCTGGCTGCACTGGACCTTCTGGGACAGCCGTGGAACCTGGGTTGAGAACCAGCCACAGTTAAGGATTGTGTGCGCCATACTAAAGGCCGAACCGATACCGGCCGGCTCAGATGCACCTGAGATTACTAATGAACGAATACTCGTCGCTGGAGCCACCTGAGTGACAGGCCCCACCGCGGGGGCGATATTGAACATTCATCAAGCGGCAAGGAGAATCACGATACCAGCCAGAAAGACTCATCCACATGTCAATCGTCGACACACGTACCATCCACCACCCAGCAATCAACCCTTGTCAAATCACCAGTATCAGTGTGGTTGCATTCTTGGCATCTTCTGAATATTGAATCTCGCAGCCACGTCATTTCCTTCCTTCCCAGAACAGGCCTCTACTTCCACAATGGACAGAGACGTCGATAATGCGAACCCGACCATATTGACTGCAGCACAGCTGCCTACGCGGCAGAGCAAGAAGAACCTAGCAAGGAAGGGCCCAGATAACAAGTACGACGGTATCATCTTGGCCAAGCCCGACTTCCTATCCCACCCTTTCTGTGACGCCGACGACTTCTTGTGGCACGACAAGGATGATGCGAATGAGGACTTCACACAGGAGCCCATTGACGAGCAAGAAATATACGGTACGGCCCTCTGCTCATTTCTCTCTTTGCTAGCTTTCATCCTCGCGACTGCTTTCCTGCCCTCCAAGGTGGTTCAGCGGGTCACCCATGTCTGACCCCTTGTGATGTTCATGGTCTCGCAACAATTATTGAGTTACTCGTCTTTACATGCGGCACCATGTGCCACATGAGAATGGGAAGAGCTCAAAGCATTATCTTTGCAGGCTCTTCTCGCCCATCAAGCCTTGACCGATGTCCGCCACAGAGCACAGCTAGCCTGAACTGGTCTATAACCCCAGCAGGGATCAAGCAACTGACGTTTCATAGACCTCATATCAACGATTTCTGACCCAGAACATCCCTTGTCCCTGGGTCAACTAGCCGTCGTCAATTTGCCTGACATCTATATCACACCGGCGCCAACGGCTCAGCAGGACCCCGACGCGTTAATCACTGTCTTGGTCGAGGTAACGCCGACTATCACACATTGTTCCCTTGCGACGGTCATTGGGCTTGGGATTAGATTTCGGTTGGAGCAGGCGCTGCCGCCCAACTATCGCATTGACGTGAGGATCAAGGAGAACACGCACAGTCAGGACGAGCAGGTTAACAAGCAGCTCGGCGACAAGGAGAGAGTGGCTGCCGCTGTCGAGAATGACACCTTGAAAGGTGTCCTCGACAAAATGCTTGAAACATGCGTCTGATATAAATGAGAATATACCACATTCAACTTCACATTCATCTCGTCATTATCGATATCTCGCATTGCTGCTGTAGGTGGTCGATTCCGAGGACCCGGAAACAAGCTTCGGCCGGAAAGCCCCAAAGCATGGTTCGAAACTTTTAGGCGTAATTGAGCCAACAGGGCCAGGGCGGTGCATCATCCCAGCTATGTCTGTTGGCTGCCGCGGACTTCATTGACCCGATAGAACAGGGTGAACAAAAGATTTGCGCTTTGGGGTTACATGATCGCCAGCCGCCAGCGATCTTCCACCATAATCATCTCGTGAACCGGGCCGGGGGCCCATCCTCTCGCTAACCGAGAACAAGTTTCGACAAGGCCTCACTGTGGCAAAGAAAGGGAACCCACGTCGTTTCTGATAAATGAATGGTGTTGCTGCCGAGGCAATAAATGCTACTGTTCCTTTCGCTTCCAAGGCCGCGAAATCCGAAGGACAAATGGCGAGACTTGGGCTGCTTGCGTACCTGATTACCTGCCAAACAAAACACAGCACCAACGTACCGTCGACCAAGAGAACGGAAATTGTGCCTACAATGATTGTGATTTTGATTGCTATGGTTGGTATCAATAAGGCCTAGACCGTTCTGCCCGCAGGCCACAGGGCACATAGTACAAGCCTCCAATGAGTTCGGAACGCGGTCCAGGAACAAACCCTGCACACGAAAGTGGTTCATGTTGCGTCGTGGCGTTATAACCCTCCAATGGTGCCACGGCTTGTCGCCGTATGGCCATTACAAAGGTCATTACAAGCTGTACCCTGGCTAAACAGAAACCCGGAAAGTCTGTCGCCTCGGAAGAACGAACGGTCTAGCGGTCTGTATCCCGGCATTTGGACTGGCCCACGGCACTTCTCTCAAGGTCAACGCGCACAAAGTGCACAATAGGAAAGTGTGCTGGATTGTCGGCACGTTCAGAAGCAGGAAGACTGCTGGCTGACGCGGCAGCGCCAAAGTCTCGATGGTTCGAGTGCCTTCAGATGCGATCAATAGTGTGGCTGGCGAGGAGGCTCGGAGACCGCCGCCTCCGGTGTGTGGGAGAGGCGACCCTGGTCGGTGACAGTCGGTGGCCAGAACTGGAGTGCATGTGGCCATAACAGCGCCTGCTATATGGCATATGAGTCAGGATCGAAACACTTGCGGGGGAGCCGCCTCGGTCACTGCCTCCTGTATGTCTATTCATGTCAGGCATGTGCATGAAGTGATGGCTCTATGTTTTGCCATCTTTCCCATA